ATCAGATCTAGGTAGATCCTTCTTCCTTCATTAGTTCACGTTTTTTCTACATCAGGATGAATTCTGAACATCAGGACTGTTCTGAACATCAGTGCTGCCAGATGGGAGTGAATGACATGGAAACATAAAAACAAAAACAGAAAGCAAGGCATGATGTTTGATGTCTTCCAAGAACTAAGTTCAGATTTAGCATAATCAGCCCCTGAATTTAATGAATTTTAGGATTTAAAATATATTTTTAGTAATAGGGTATTTGAAAGATTGTCTAAAAAAAAGCATGGAAAAACAGGCTGTCTGCACAGGTGAGCTCCATGTCATTTCCCCATCACCACACCTCCCAAAAAAATATTTGGAACAGTGAGGATTCTGGAAGTCCCATTTAGTGCTAATTCCCCAGCAGATCTGTTCTCCTTTCTAAGATTCTGAGCAGTATTGTCAGGCTTTAACTGTTAAAATTCAACTTGTAGGAGATCCTCTCTGGATGTGGTCTAAGGGGACACTTCCAGTCAGAACCATGCAGCTCTCTTGAGACAAGAAGCCATTCAAACACAGCATGGCCTGCACAGAAACATATAACCAGAAACTCCTGAATGGCATCTTAGTCCCAACAAAATGGAGCTGAAAGTGAAAAGTTTCAGTTGGAGAACACGCACAGCTGTCACCGGGTAACCCTGAGAGTCTGTAGTCCCCATCAAAAGTAGCCCAGTGCAGCAACTAGAACTGTGTGTGGCAGGAGAGACCTGGGGCTGATCTCACAGCCTGAACAGAAAAGCAGCATCACAACTTCTTAGAACAGTGTCAGAGACTCTGTGCCTGTGGTAAGGGCACTGGGCAAGGCAGAAAAAGGTGGCAGAGGTTATCAACACCCAAGTGATTCTGACTGAGATTGTGACTGAGACTGCTCTCCCTGAATGGGATTAATTCAAAAGTAGCATTTTCGTAAAGCTCAGATGTTGTTAGTGCGACTGAAATAACTTGCCAGTTCACCAAGAGTAAGTTCAATCTTCAGGAGCTCCAGATTTCAGCTCCTGAAATATGAGCTGGGCAGGGAAATTAACGTATGCAACTTTGTCTCAAGTCAGCACTCAAATAACAACAAAAGTACTAAAACTAGAGGGAAGGGGCTCTTATTTCCTTTCATAGTTCACATCAACACTTCTTTAAGCAAAACTAAGTTCATTTCTTTTTAAAGAGGTTGTTAGCATAGCCATAGTGTGCTGTCTGCTTAAATGACTTCACCTAGATTTAAAAAACCGCTATTTTAAAAATCAGAGTATAGGTAAAATAGCAGGATTTAGCTGTCTTCCAGCACATGGTATTTCAAAATTGTAGATGCTAGTCCATTAAGCATAAGGCTCAGCTGGTGTTTGTACACCCCCTGAACCCATCCCACTTCCAGAAGAGGAGGAAAAGAGAAAGGAAAATTGCCTAGAACGTTCTTACAAAATTCAAAGCAAGTCATGTGCATGAAGAAGCCAATTGTGCTTTGTTTCTACCTCATTCCTTTCCATTTTACATTGTAAATTCTTTAACAGGCCTTGTCTTTACAACACAGTGGGTACACCTGTAGCATCAGCTGCCACAGAGACATACGGGCCAGTAGGAGAGACCTGGTAGGACAGGAGGGTTGCAGCCCTCTTGGCACTGGCCACTCCTGGGGAGGCGCTGGGGATGGTGTCACCCTGCAGCACCTGCCACCTGCCCAACCCACGAGCACACAGCTGCAACACACACCCCCAGCACTCCAGGTGGTACTTTGGAACCAGACAAGGAAAACAACTTGTCAAATCCTTTAATTTCTATGACAGTAAAACAGTCAACAGGGTAGAAGGGATTGGAGGAACAGGGCCAAAGATAAACATAACATTACAGACAGTAACAAAGCTTCCTATGAATCCAAAAACTGTTACTTCCACAGTAACCAATACTATATTTTTTTAGCTTAAAGGGATAAGTATGTGTGCTTTACACTTAGAAATCCCACAATATTACAGTTCTGCCACTGCATTTAATATTGTGCTACCAACACAGAATAAAGCCAAGAAATGGCTAACTTAAAAACACATAGTTTACATCTATTTTTTGGTCTTGTGTGGTATCTAGTTGAAGATGGAAGCATTTATGTGCTTTTTGCCTCGTAAGAAGTGAGGCAGATGTTAATGTTACTAAGATCAGCTGTATATACCTTGAAGGTATAGACCACCTGACTCTACATGAGTCAAAATACTAGGAATGTATCGTCAATATCCATTAATGAATTACCAGTTGCTTGTATTTAAGTGACCATATGCTTCTGTGAAAAGTATATAGTGAACTATATCTTACACATAGTATATCTGAAAGTAGCATTGTATCTGTAAAGAAGTTTTGCATAAGCATGTCATTTTCAAGGCCAAAGGCATATTTTCATGTGGACAGTGTCATCAACAGCTGATTTTAAAGCATAACACTGTCAGTAACTGCACAAAGTAGTTTTGAATTTCTGGTCCACCTTGGAAACCACACAGCATCTTAACCATCCTCTGTATTTCAGTGTAAAATCTTTACTAAGGTAGCCTTAACCTACACATCTCCACAGAATCCAGAAGGGGTGGGAACAGGCAAGGCTGTAACATTTGTTTTGAAAGAGAGTTTTACAAGTCTTGCCTGGAACTTGTGTGATGATCACGAGAACAGGCTCTGCTCAAAGTAACTGCCCAACTCGCTTTCAGAAACCACATATATACTACAATCCCATCTTTTCCTTTGTTCTTGGGTCACTGATGTCAGGACAAACATCTTTGCAAAAGCATGAAGAGCAAGACCTATACTGGTTCACGCTCTCTAGATACAGTCCTTCAATTCATTCATTTAGTTTCACAGGGTGTATTTAAATAAGTGTCTTAAAGTTGTAATAGGAATATTTCAGTAAAGCTAACTAGCCTCACACACCACAGTTCACCAGCCCCATTAAGACACGAGGACAATTTTGGTCACACAGTCACTTGCATGGACAAGTGGATACATTTCAGATATTTTTAACTGTAACACTAATATGTAAGGCTCCAAGCTCTCAGAATACCTGAATGATGTCCCTAATAATAAATTTCTAATATTTTAAGTGTAAACATTTTAAAACAATTTTAACTGCAGCTCCCTGTTCTTGGTTGCAGAACTTTGACTCAGATAAATATTTCTCATTAAAATGTCAGCATTAAACTCAAACAACAGAAAAGATGCTTGTGTATCTTAATGAAATCAAGCAATTTTACTTTAAGTCTTTCAAGACTCAGTACAACACATCAATAGTCATTTTAATATGCCTTGAATTGATACTAATCACACAAAAAAAAACCCAAGTAACTCTCTAGCATCATATTTACTACAGCAGTATTTACATTATGCAAAAGGCAGCCTGCAAAAAAATAACTGATAAATCCTTGTGCATACTGGAGCTTGATTTTTGAAGCACTCTGGGGTGAGGGGAGAAGCAGCAGCTCACATTCACACACAGCCCAGGGCAGTCATCTCAGGAGAACAGCCCAAGAGTTTCTGATGCAAGCTCTCTCTTTTTTTGGAGCCACACTGGACAGCTAGTTGTCACCACTTGGTCACATGTAAGACCTCAAACTACAGACATACTTGTTTTACAGAAACAGGAAATAAACACAAACATTATCTGACTTGCTACATCATGGGCACATTGAGGGTGTCACTGAAGGTGTCCCCATTCCCATCTGTTTGAACATTACTTGTGGCAGAGCAGGACAAAAAAGTGCAACCAGGTTCTGAATACTTACTTGGGTTTTGGTTGGTGGGCTATTTCTTTACTATAAACTGCTTAAAGGATTCCTAAGGCTGCAGTAATGCTAAGAAAAAAGACATTACCACCGACCAATGCCATCCTGGATCTAAGGCCTCTGAGCAGTTAAACTGCAACACCACAGAAATTCTTACCCCCAAGACTGAACACACAAGTTTTACTTACCAACCCATCCATCTCATCTCTATAAGCTTAGAATGTAGTTTACAGTATCTACACATACAGGCCTATATACATGTTTGTGTGTACATTAAAAAACAGTCTCGTGAAAGATACTGGATTATGCCACTGAACAGAAATCCTGGTAACTATAGTATAAATTCAGAGAAATAATTTACTTCAAATTAATGAAGATTGTAAAAAACTGCAATTGCAGCCTTCAAGGCCTGTGCTTCTTGCATGGATTACAAGTACTGCTTATACACAGTAGTTTATAAAGAATTTTACAGGGACATACTTGGTAAGGTAAGTGACCTCCACAGCACAACAGCTTACAGACCTGTAAGAGCTGTGACAGGGGGTCTACACAGCTTTTTACAAAGCATACTAGGCTCAGATTTAACACCAAAGTTAATCTTCATCTTGTACTCCAAGACTTTGTCTGGCAACTAGTAAAGCAGCCTGGCATTTATAGCTAGGAACAGAAAGCTGAAAACACTGGCCTTCCCAGGGAGCTTCATGACATTAGACTGTGAACAGCCCTACTGCCCCCAGCAAGAAAGGAACTGATCTCTACCAGCTACTGTCATGTTTAACACATTCTTGGTGGAACTGCTTATCTACTGTCAAGAATACCCACTCCAGGTAGTTTACATTTCCAGTAAGGGTCATATTGGGCATCAAGTGTTATCTCTTTTTCTTCTTTCTTTTTGTTTTAAACCAAATCCCAAAGTTACTCTTTATAGCTGTGCCTGTACAACACAGGAGGTACTGTGCATTCAAATGGTAGTGGGTTTATACCTAAAGATATGAGACTGCCAACAAATAAAAAAGGAATGCATTCTTCTCTTCAGCTTCCAGTCTTCAAGGCACCTCCTGCATTAACTTCCTGGGAAATAAACGAGCAGACCAAAAGTTCACTGGAAAGAGAAGAATCTGATATACTTAACTTCCTCAGAAGCACACAGCATAAAAAAAATGAAACCAGGTTGGACCCAA